TTCTGGCAGGCCCCGGCCCAGAGGCACCCCCTGCTCCGACGACGCTGGCGGCGGCAGCAGCCACCCTCAGCACCCCATGCCCTTGGTCACGGTGCCATTTACAGACCAGGATCAGCGCCACACCGAACACCTCAGTCACAGGAAACGCCCACCTTGGACATGGTTCTGGTTCGAAAGAAGCTGTCTTTAAAAGATTTTCCTACTTCCACGGCTACGTAACTTCTGCACGGCAAAAAGGCAATAGAGAGACTAGACCCATGGCACGGCAGTAACCTGCTGCCCGACAGACCTAATCCCACATGGTGACGGCGGTTCGTACCCGCTGGGCAGCGGAGACACTTGGGCAGGCAGGCAAGTGCCCAGGATCGACCAGCTGGAGGGCTGGAAGACGGAGACGGCGGCGTGAGCAGGCCTCTGGTGGGTGTCCCTCTCCCGCACACGCTCTGCCGTGAAGCCAGGGGACGGCACAGGAAGGGGAGACCCGGGGCGTGCGGGTCCTGAGTGCTGACAGCCGGGCATCGCATCCGGGTGGAACCTCGGCCTGCAGGAACCCCGCAGCGGAGGACAGCAGGCCGGAGCGGCAGGGACCTCCAGGTATAGTCTCTGAACTCCCGCCGAAGCACTCCTGGCCAAAGCTGGGCGCCAGGGTTCACGCTCCCCACGCACTCCCCCAGTGTGGGGGATGGGCCCTTCACTGTGATGCCTCCCCCGGGGACCAACCCCACGGAACTCCACTGCAGCCCCAACAAAGCCCAAGCCCAAGCTGGCTCTTCCACACCAACAGCGACAACGCCATGGACGGAAGCTGGTACACCTGCTGCCCATGCACGCTGGCCTCCGGGATGTTGCACTTTGAAACAGGCAGTGCGCCGATGTCGCCAGGCCAAGGGTGAAGAAACGGTTTTCTGGCCTGGAAAGAGGACTACACTGCAGCTACACCTCAGGGCAGCCAGAGAGGCCCTTCCCTAGCCAGAGCCCGGAGGGGTGCGGAGAAGTCCACACGGGGAGGTCCCCTTCGCGGCCAGCAGCGCTGACCTGCCTCCTGGCCACGGCAGCTGCCAGGCCACTTTCCCCCGTGCTCACCTCGGCGTCCCGCCATGCTTTTGCCATCCTGAGGGTGTTCTGCCTACCCAAGACAGCAGCTAGCCGGTGACTTTCAGCGTTCTCGGCACAGCCACATTGCCATGAGGCTCTCTAAAGACCCTCATGCTGTCACCCCCCACCCAGCAGGGCTCAGCCGGACACCTTCAAGCCAGGAACCTGCCATTATAACAAACAGCCCTTAGGAATCCGTCCTGGCGAAGAGGTCGAGGCCGAGTTTACCGAAACCACCTTCAACATAGGTTTGTGTGAAACTTACCCACGGCCTGCGATCTGGCCTCAAGGACCTCCCCCCAAGCCGGCCTCACGCAAGGACAGTACTGGAGCGGTGAGCCCCTTCGCACACTGCCCCGACTGCCGGGAAGCGCCATGCTGCCCAGGCGGCTGTGCGGCTCTGCATGCCCTGCCCTCCCTAGCCTGCCCAGCCCCACCTCCTCTGCCCGCTGCAGGCGTGCACCGTCAGCCGGGCAGGAGCACCATACGCTGTTCTAGCCGCTATCGGGGGCACGTCAGCGAAGAAAGAACAGCAACTAGAAGAGCCACGTGCCCTGAGCGGCCACGGGACGGCAGTCACGGCGACAGGCGTACACGGCGTTCTCGCTCACAGAACTTGGCGGTCCTGACCCCGCCCAGGCGGTGGTGGCGGTGTCAACTGTACCTTTGCTTCGTTTGAGCTGTCGATAGTGACAGTCGGACTCCCTGGTCGGCAGGCCAGCTGAGGACTGCACCAGGGATAAGCAGACGGGTGCTCGGCCACAGCACGGCTCTCGGCCTCTGCGCCTGATTCGGCAAAGCGCTGCGCTGCGCTGCGCTGCGCTCACAGACGAACGCAAACTCACACCAAAATCAACTCGCCCCCAACTTCTTCAAGGAGCTGCCCCCTGGTGGAACAGCCCACTCTACAGTGGACCTTCAACAGGAGCTGCCCAGGGCGTCTCAGGAGTGCCGTGATGGACGCAGACGCCCTTTCGGACACGTGTCCCCTCCTCCCAGGACAAAACAGGAACAGGACGGGGCTTTACCTACACGGAGGATCAGAGCGAGGGGATCCAGCCGACCCCACACCGCTGCCTTCACCACCACGGGATGCCCCAGGCCCCGGCGCTGCAGCCCTGATTCCGGCCAAGCCCCCGGCAGCCCGGAGTGAGAAGGGACAGCCGGGTACACCTGCTACGAGGCGGCATGCTGAGGCCGGCAGCCGGGCCTCGACGTCCCAGAACAGACAGCACGGAGCGAGCGCCCTTCCCCGTCGCTCAGGCAGCGAGCCTGCCGTCTGAGGCCAAACGCAAGCAGCCGTGGCCGACACACGGACCGTGGGCTCTCTGCAGCCCGTCACCGTACGGGCCAGCGGCACCTCTTGGGTAAGGGGCCTAGCACCCTGGTCACCCACAGAGCACAGCAGTCCCGTCCTGCTCCCCTCCCAGTCTGGCCGGCTGAGCCCTGCAGGCATTGACAGGAAAACCCGCCACCACTCCTGCCACACTGCCACTGTGAGCCCTTACCACTCCTGCCACACTGCCACTGTGAGCCAAAGTGGCCACTGGCTCTTTTCAGAAAGCAGGAAGGGACAGGGAGGGACCAGTGTCTCCCCTGCTTCTACTACCACTGCTGCCACTGGCTGGGGCACAACTCCACGCGTCACTACCAACCACGGGGACAGGCGAGGTGGGGGCGGGACGGGGACTCAAGTGCCCAAGGAGCCCGAACGAGGCCACCTGCCTTTGCTGTCAAGCCCAGGAGGCAGCACAGAGCTGACCGAGCAGACAACGTGTGGGGACAGCAAGGCTGGGCAGGGTCACAGTCGCAAGCCAGAGCCCCCCAGAGACCCTGGCCCAGCAGCGCCTGCCCACCCTCACGGCAACACCCAGGGCAACAGGGCACCCCTTTGAGCACGGACACAGAGACACCCCAGCCCCAAACACTGCAGAGCAAGGTGCGGGGCAGGGGACGCCAGCCAGACTGCTGCCTGCCTGGGTGCCTGGGTGCCGGGGTGCCAGGCAGCCCAAGCCCTCCAGCCAACCTCAGAGAGCACGTCACCTCGCCTGACCTCATCTGGAGGGGGCCCAAAGGAGGACACACAGGCCAGAGACTGGGGGAGAGCCCTGGGAGCCGGGCACCCTAGGTCTACACCAGCCGCGTGCGCCCCTCCGCAGCTCTGCGACAGCAGCTGGCCAGGGGCACTCGGGGAGGGTGGCCGGCTGGGCAAGGCTGGGGCAGAGCAACTCCGCAGGCAAGGCGGGGACTGCGGGCAGGACGGCGAGCACCTGGGCACCCCGGCCACCACGGGGACAGGGGACTCAGCGCTCCTGCTCCTCCGGGCTGAGAACTTCCTGGAACTGGCAGCCAGAGCTGCTCAGACCCGCCCTTCCCTCCGCCCAACCGCGCGGCGTCCACTCACCTGGGGGCAGCTGGAAGTTCTGGATGTTGGTCGGGTTCTGAGGCGGCTGCGGCAGGCGGGGGGCCAGCACAGTGGGCGTCAGGGTGGCCCGGATCCC